CACACACACACACACACACACACACACACACACACACACACACACACCGAAAATAGGCATCGCACACAGTGCGCACCTTGCACTGGTAGCACGTCCTCATGCGCTGCACGCACGGCGCACCTCGTGCACGTGCGGGCGCACATGCGCGTGCCGTGTCACCACGCGCATGCCGCACGGCGCAGCGCACCGCATCGCGCACCGCACTAATGCGCCACAAGTATGAGCAAAATGCCTTACCCTTTTTCCCAGCAATCGCCCATCTCCTCCAGTAGTCCCTGAAGAAATAAAGAGCAGTCCAATCAGCAACAAGAAACAACGAACAACGTCACTTTATAGCATGACTAATCCCAGCAGCCTCGCTGAGTGGCAAAACGCAGAATCTATCGGCAACAACCCGTATGCTGTGGTCTAGACATATTTACCAAGAGCGTATTAGAAGACCCAACAGCTTACAAAACAAGGGGGTGGGTGGGAGGTTGTGGAGGCTGGGAGGTAAGAAGGTAGGAAGAGAGGAGAGAATATGGGATGCGATTAAAGATCGTCACAATGCACAGCATGCCTCCAACCCAACATGTATTCCTCTCCATGTGGGTGAAATTCCATCACCCTTCGACAGCTTCTAAACCTCTGGCTCATATGTCCCCGCAAAGAAGATAACGCCGAATGATCAGCGGCATCCGTTCAATCATCAACACCAGATGCGTCTAATCGAAACACCACTTGCCGGGACAACTTCCAAAAATTCCTGCACACTCTAGGGATCACAGCTTCGAGATATCATTGCTGACAGATTGGCAAACACATTCACAGATGCAACGATGAATCACACATGTGGACGAGACACTCTTCGTTTTCTGGTATATTGACTATCGCTAGACATGTTGCTGCTGTTTGGCGCCCATGGCTTTCATGCGCGCCCTTGCGGCTGCAAACATCCCTTGCTGCTTGGCTATGGCCTCCTCTTCTGTTAATCCACCGTCATTCCACTTAGCTCCTATCCGGGGCGATTCCTGCAATCCGAAAGCAAGCACCAAACCAAAATCAGCCAGCTCTACTCTTTCCACTTCATAAATGAACTTGCAAATAATCTGAAATAAATTGAAATTGTATTATAAATTATAATACCATTGACAAATTGATATACAGAATTATACACTAGTATACAGGAAAAAATTACCCCTTTACCCTTATACTACTCTTATAGCATCATCGAAGCCAAAAGGACATTCACCAAATGAAATTGCAATTAAGCTATAATAAATTAATAATGATACCAAATCAATCACCCATGTTAATGACTGAACTCCCAATTTAGACATCAGGCCAAGCAATTCAGACAGCATGACAAAAATTAGTCCTCCTAATCAGGGTTGCATCCCTGCCGACCGCCGACCGTATTGCAGCCGACCAGTAGGGCCGACTGGTCGGTGGTCTGCTGAACAGTCAGGAAAAAAAAAAACAAAAAAAAAAAACACCGCAACCATCCACTGATTGTTTTTCAAATCCGAGTTGGGGGCTGTACTGCGATTGCTGAGTAAAGCCCAAATCCGCT